TATGAGTCAGTTTATGTCTTCCATCATTTTTAGGTTTGGAACAAATATTAGGTTACCTCAAGGGAGCTCCTGCAATATATTTATATCTGGATTATGGGCATAGAAAAATTATGGGCATAGAAATATTAAATGTTTCTCTGATGCAGACTAGACAAGTTCCTAGATCGATCGAAGATTCATTACTGGATATTACGACTTTATTGGTGGTAATTTAGTTTTATAGAAAATTAAGAAACAAAATATAATGTCACGGTCTAGTGTTGAACCTGAGTACGAGCAATGACACAAGCTTCGTGTGAATTAATGTGAGTCTTCCTATTCTTGATCGAAATAGCAAAGTTGTGGTGTGATAATCAAGCTGCAATTCTTATTGTTTCTATCCCTATTTTCCATGAACAAACATGGCGCATTTTGATGAATTGTCATTTTGTTCTTAAAAAGATTCAACAAAATTTATATTTACAGCTCATGTAAAGACTGGGGAACAACTAGGAGACATCTTCACAAAAGCCTTTAATGAAGCAAGAGTCACTTATATTTGTAACAAGGTGGGCATGATCAATATCTATGCTCCAACTTGAGGGGGGTTGTTATGAAAAATGCGAAATAGGTAGCTTGTATATTAGATAACCTAATTAGAGAATATTTAATTTCAGATCTTTTATATATTATGTATATTCCTAATATGTAGATAGAGGAGTGTCTATTAGTATGCAGTAACATATGATTTCAATTAGGGAATAAGAAGAAAGGAAGATTTCACCACAGTTATTACACAATATGGCTTGCCTTGTGATTCAAGGTTGCTAATAGGGTGCTTGGGACAGACTATAACACCTTCTTCACTGTAATAGGTTGATTAGGATAATGATGGTTCAATGGTTGTTTTTACTTATATTAAGCTGTGCGGTCTCCAGATATGGTTCAAAATCATGTTTTTATGCTAGAGGTGATTGGATCTTATTTCTTTCTTTAGATTTTTGGCCTCTCAAGGTAATCAATGATTTCTTTAGTGGTGGCATTGTGTATTGATTCAAAACGTTAATTGTTTATTTTATTTGAGTGTCGAAGGTATGAAGTTTTGAGTGGACGCTATTTGGAGTAGCAACAGTAATAGGAATGGATTGGTAGCTTGCTCAGTTTCCCGGAATTGATATTCCTCAAAATCCTTCTTGAATATTTGTTTTGTTATAGAAGGGTTGGTTTTTAAAGAATGTGGCATTCATTATACTGTAATTAAATTTTTTATGGATGGTGAATATCGCTTGTACACCTTTTTGTTAGATAAGAATCGAGTACCTAGGAAAATATTAGAGTGATCTTAGTTAAATTTTGTTGGATTTTACTGATTTTTTATGGATAGATGTTTAGGTTGGAATGCATGATAATTTGGGCATAAAGATAGGCTTGGAGGAGAGTTTGAAACTTCGGTATTCAAGGGAGCATTCAACTGATGAGAAACGCTATTAATAATGCATCCCACTCCCCTCCTCCCCTACGAACCATCACCATAAATGTTTTTGATTGTGTGAGGCATGCATCATTGATATGAGTCACTCTCATCATGTTTGGTTTTTCTTTCGTGAAACTAAGTTTATTGTGAGTGTTATCACATCTGTTTTGGGAGCATTCCCTTGATCAAATTAGGACCCAATGGTAGAATAATAGTACATAGGCTATTGTCACTCTATAGTACTTGGTTTTAGCTTGGTGAGTTTGCTCCATTTTATTGTTGACTTCATATTTACTTTTCATAAGGAAGAACCTCATAACTCGAGTGATCACCAATGAATGTAACTAATCATGTAGACTTGATGATAGTGTTAGCCCTAGGTGACTTTTACACATCACTATTGATTAGGGAAAATGGGTTGGTTCTTATGGTTGACTAATGAAATAGTTGTGGGTGTGGATAAATGATAATTTTGACATTGATGAAATCTATAGTTTGCTTAAGATAGAAAATGATGTTTTTGTAGTAAAAAAATAGTTTAAATAACCTAATCAATAATGCATGCCATGAATACATTTTAATTAGTTATACTTGAAGATGAGCATATGCAAAAGCAAAGAAATGTTTTTTTTTCTAAATAAATTTATTTATTTGTTATGTATATTTATCGTTTGTGTATGTTTTTCTTTTTTATTCATAAGACATGGTTGGAAGTATATTTTTTTTTAATTTAAGCTTTATTTTATTATAAGAAATGTTTGCTTCATATTCAAAGATTATCCTATGAACATTTTCTAAAATTTTATTTTATTAGAAAGGTGTTGATATAACTTTTATTCAAGTTTTTAAAGATATGTATACTAGAGCGGTTACTTTTGTTCGAACTGAAGGAGGATTGACCAAATATTTTCTTATTTCTGTTGGATTACATCAGGGATCAGCTTTAAGCCCATATCTTTTTGCTTTAGTTATGGATGGTATTACTAGATATTTATAGGAGGATGTACCTTGGTGTATGTTTTTTGCTGATGATATCCTTCTCGTGGGTAAGATGAGAGAAAAAACATTGGAAAAACTTGAATTATGGATGTCTATATTGGAGTCTAATGGCCTTCATTTGAGTAGAACTAAAACGGAATACATGAATGTAATTTTAGTAGTAGTAGCTCTAGTGACAGAAGTGTAACTTTGGGTGATCAAATTATTAAAAGGTGTGAATGATTTAGATATCTCGGGTCTATTGTTCAAAGCGATGGTAATATAGATGGGGATGTTAATAGTAGAATTCAGGTTGGTTGGTAGAAATGGAGGAATGCTTCGGGCCTATTGTGTGATAGAAATGTTCTGCTTAGACTACAACAACAACAAAGCCTTAATCCCACTAGGTGGGGTCGGCTACATGAATCCTTTTTCTCCATTGCATCCTATTTAGTGTCATATTTTCATTTAGTTCTAATAAATTAGGATCATTTTTTATACAATAAGCCCATGTCTTCCTAGGTCTATCTCTGCCTTTCTTAACATAAATCAAATCTAAAACATTTACTCTCCTAATCGAATCATTAGATGGTCGACGCTTAATGTGACCAAACCATCTAAGACGACTTTCTCTAATTTTGTCCATCAAAGGAGCTACACCCCTATCACGGATATATTCATTTCGCATTTTGTCTCCAAGTGTAAAGCCACTCATCCAACTAATCATTCTCATCTCGGCAACACTTAACTTAGTATTATGCTTCTCTTTTAAAGGCCAACATTCAATGCCATAGAGCATTGCACCATCTTATAAAATTTTCCTTTCAGTCTAAATGATATTTTTCTATCACACAAAAGACCCGAAGCATTCCTCAACTTCAACCAACCAACTTGAATTATACTATTAGCATCTCCATCTATATCACTATCACTTTGAACAACATACCCAAAATATCTAAATCATTCACACCTTTTAATAATTTGATCACCCAAAGTTACACTTCTGTCACTAGAGCTACTACTACTAAAATTACATTTCATGTATTCAATTTTAGTTCTACTCAAATGAAGGCCTTTAGACTCCAATGTAGACCTCCATAATTCAAGTTTTTCCTGGGCTTTTTCTCTCGTCTTATCCACGAGGGATATCATCAGCAAAAAGCATACACCAAGGTACGTACTCCTATAAATGTCCAGTAAGACCATCCATAACTAAAGCAAAAAGATATGGGCTTAAAGCCGATCCCTGATGTAATCCAACATAAATAGGAAAATATTTAGTCAATCCTCCTTGAGTTCGAACACAAGTAACAGCTCTAGTATACATATCTTTAATGACTTGAATATAAGTCATATCAACACCTTTCCTCTCTAGAACTCTCCAAAGGATATCTCTTGGAACCTTATCGTAAGCTTTTTCTAAATCAATAAAAATCCAATGTAGATTCTCCTTATTATCTCTAAACTTCTCCATCAAACCTCTTAGTAAATATATAGCCTCCATAGTAGACCTGCGCGACATAAATCCAAATTGATTATGAGAAATCTTTGTAATATGCTTAACCTATGTTCAATTATCCTCTCCCATAATTTTAAAGTATGACACATCAACTTAATTTCTCTATAATTTGCACACTCTTGTGCATCCCTTTTATTCTTAAAAATGGGACCAAAATATCTTTTTTTCCTTTCAGCTGTTATGTATTGTTTTTTGGATTTTATAATATTGAATGTGTTCCCATTATATTATTGTTGCAAACAGCACCACTGTGCGGGGCCAAAATGACCATTTATCCATAAACAGTTATCAATCAGTTGTTTTCCAAATGCTCAAACCAAACAGTCAGCCAGCTTATCAGGATAAACTGCTAATCTGGATTAACTGGATAAGTTGTGGCTGCTCAAACTAAATTTTGATGTGAACGACAACCAGCACAGCTTGAATTTTGCAGTGTTTGGGCTTGTTTAATATTTAGGGCATTTACATACATGATACAAAAACTCTTATGTATTTACCCATTCAACACCTAAATTTTCATTTATTTACACGGATAACATTCAAATCTTTAGCATTACATCAAAATTATCACTTTTATTATCGTTTTAAAACTTAAATACACCCTTTCATACATTGGTTTACGATATCAAAGTGTTATGAATGCAATATCAAATATTAGGTATTAGATATTTAAATAACCCCAGAATTATGTGGCATGCATAATAAATTCTCTTAATATTTTCCTTGAAGCATTGTCTTGTTATTAATTTGCTACTACAAAATCTATGTACACATCACATCGATTCTTATAACTATACATATCTACCACCTAAACTTTACTTTTTACATTTATACCGCACAAATCTTTCATATGACATCCGAACTACCACTATTTTCACTTTCAAAATGTGAACTACAGATTTTCATGCATACGTAAGGTGGTATGTATGTAAATACATAGGAAATGAGTGTATGCATTTAAATCTTTCAACTAACAATATTCCTTCAATAGTCTATGATTAAACTTCTGAAACTCAGATTCTTAATTCTTCCTCCTATTCTTGTTTCTAGGTAGCAAGAACTGGCCGTGTTGCGTTAATACGCGAATCTGGAGTGGATTCCAAATATCTTCGTAGCCTCTCTCTCACGCTGCAGTAAGAGTCGTCAATTTTAGAAGCCTATTTAAAAATGGAGCATATTTATGTAACTTATTTGTTTAATAGTTCTTTAGCTGAGAAATCAATTATCTAAATTTCTGGAAGAACTCTAAGTCCTGTCCAAAACTTCATTATTATTATAATTTATAGGATTAGGCATTATCCCGTGGAAAAAACTGGGTGAAGATATCTTAATCTATGTTCATTAAGGAGTTGATTGGTTTGATTTTGAATTTGGGTTTATATATGTACTAATCCTATAAAGCTGTTAGCTAATGGAAATCCTTATAGTTTAAGGGAAGGTCGGAAGGAAGGCCATTAAAATAAAGTTTATAATCATATCTTTCATTTCTTATTATGACTTGTTGATCATTTTTACATTACAATGATGTGAATGCCAACATATGTGGGTCGTGTGTTGTTCACTACATTTATTGGGTTTTTGTTTGTTGACATCACTTTGGAGCAGAATATCCTCGTTCTCACTCATGGATCTTGCATGTTAGTCTAATTTTAATCATGATCATCAATGGCTTTAATGGCCTTTGTTCATGTCCAAATCTTATTTGTTTACAAGATCTCATATGACAATTAGTCTACTTGCTACTTGGGTCTGTCATTGTAGTTAGATTGTTTTAACGTGAGTTGCTTCATTTTCATCATTTTGTTCAAGTAAACATGTGAATATGTGATGAGCGTGACATCGATTCATTAGCATTTTATGTGGATTCAAGTGAGTGAAGCCTCATTTGCATGAAATCTTCTCATGCAATTCTTTTTTATCGAAGCATTGTTTCATGAAAAAAACTGTGTAAAGTGAGTCTAAATCATTGAGATGATTTAGATGAGTTTGCTCTCGATTTAAATCAGACTTTATTTAGTACATATCATTGGCTCAAATATTTACATATATTTTGAATATTATATAGAATTAATGTATTTATATATTGTACATCAAAAAACTGTATGCACTGATCATAAAGATCAAACAATCTAGAAGAGGTGTGGGATGGAAGTAGGTCAACTATCACGAGATTGTGAGACCAACCTGACTGAAACAAGTAAAGCAATACGAGCCAAACCAACTAAGAAAAAATTGACTGGCCACAAGACGACCAAATAATTCAAGCACGAGCCATTCGGTTGGAAATGAGATGAGAAAGCATTTGAGCCATCCATCAAGGTAAACTGGCTCGATGTGATAGCATATATCCCAATAGAGTCGATCCAAAGGTAGATCAAGTACTACAAAGGAACTTTAACCATCCTGTGGAAAACCCCAAAGACTCCTCACTGCGGATAAATATAGTCAAACAAATCAGTCCAAGCTTCGCCAATGAGTCGACCTCGTCGAACTAGATGTCAATCAAACGAAAATCCCACACTTATACAATATCAAATATACCTTAGTACTGACCCCCTTCAAAATGGGATAAAAATATAATATCACAATTGTACTATCTTCTCTACAAATTGGGGAAACATTTTATTAAGAATAGACACTATTGAATAGTATTCATTATTGTTCATCTTTGTCTCTCCCTTTTTCTCCTTATTTGTGTTTTATTTCTTTGGTGTGATTCACAAACAATCTCATATTCAACATTCTAGAAAGTGCGGTGAGCATAGATCATGCCACCAATAAGAAGAGAAATCATGCAAGGAGAATGATCTCATTACAAGAAAACTTATGATAACATAGAGTAAAATTAGAGAATTTGTGGTCCACATAAAATGCTAATAGAATGTGTTGAATCAAGAGTAGCATCATCAACCCCAATAGAATGTTCCATCACCGAATGATAGAAGAGTCCCTCGTCCTGGAAGAAGGGGGAGGGGGGCGACAAAACTCAATATCTTGACAGTGTTGGGTCGGCTGAAATTGCGTCGAGCATACTAACATGTTGCACCAGCTAAAGAATGTGTTCACTTGGTAGATCTGTGATGTTGAGTTGCTGGAATTGTTCAAGTTTCCGACATTTACATCTTACAAGAGATGGACGAACCTGACCGATCACATCAATCTTTCAAGTTGATCGTGTATCTGTATAAGATTAACGACGCACTAAAATGTTGGCTCTTCTTTAACTTGCTAAGGGACTCGACTATGTGGTTTAATAAACTACCGTTATGAGTGATCCCTACATTTGCAGACTTTAAGTGAATTTTGGGAACACAATTTACAAGTGCTTAGAAACCCCAAAAGAGCACACAGACTCTTCTGTAGCTTTACATGTTCATCACTCTTTTATAGAAGAAAATGTTAGAGGATTAGGATTTGAAACCCACAGTTGCTCATACAACTCTCTCATAAGAATTCAATGAAGGACATTTTAATCATGCATTGTGATTGCAACAACCATACATCGATAAAAGAGTATAACTCTCCCCCTCGCCTCCCCCATGCTTTAGTTAGAACTAACCAACAAGTTGATATCCACCAAAGAGATCTATTATAGAAAGGGTGGAAACCAAGGCACAATGTTTGCCCTCCTGCTCGAGCTCACTTCGAGGATTCACGAAAACACTTAGATAATTGGGCGAGTAGCATAACCCATTATCAGCAGAATAGTGTCTAACATCCTAAATGGAGACCAAATTGATATGAGGAGTAATCACCACCCACTTACGTATGAGCTACCTAGGAAGACTCCTCTAAGAGTATTAATGGCCTAGATAGCAAAGGCCGTCAAAAATAAAGATTATTTCAAGAAGGCAACCTCAGCGTAAGCCTAAAAGTATCTCTGGGACCCGAAGAAGTATTGCATGAACCATCAAGGCCACAATACTAATACTGAGGAGTGGTAGCACCTCTAGAAGTCTCATAAAGAATTTGATCAAAGTCAAGAAGTTGAAAGAGTTTGTAGCATCTGAAGCAACCACCCAGTGACAGGGAAAAACTCTTGTTGAAGAAATTGCAAACGAGTCTAATACGCATAACAGACATAGTTCTTGCGATCTTAGGGGGACGGGGAGGGTGCCAGGGAAGATGGTGAGAGTCATCCCACTGAGACAACTTGAAGAGGTCTTAAATGGGTGAATTATGTGTAGCCGCCCTAGCGTCTCGACACAGATCACATCCTCCCATCTCTTTTACTACCAGAAACCTACCGCCGAAGTGCAACCCTGACGATGTTATTGTCATCACTGCTCGCTAATTACCTGATTGGACGCACTTCAAATTGGTATTTGATAAGATGAGTTTGAGCACCACCCACATTTCAGCCATGCACGAACCATTCTATGAGTTCTTTGGAGAAAGAATAGAAGCTTTGGGAACCCTTTCGAGTAGAAATTCACCATCATGGCAGATTTTCTCTTGAACTATTCTCTACCCACCTATAACGTTATCTTTGATTGCATGTTGCTCAACTCTTTTCGAGCCATCACTCCATGTCCCATGTATTTATTAAGTTTCAGGGTGTTGAGGAGGTGATCACTATCCAAGACAACCTAAAGCGGTCCCGCACTTGTTATCTCCATGCGCTTGGAAACGTTCATTATGAGTCTCTAGATCTTGACATCCATCAATGGAAAAGCCTTGAGACCACCAAGTCCACCTAGAAGGTCCCCGCTGATGATGATGACAATGATAAGTTTTTTCTTATTTAATGATGCTTTTTATGCACGTCATAAAGACGAACTAGTATGAACTCTCTGGAGTCATTGAGATGTCTCGCTTGGTCAGTTGCTGAGATGTCTGGTGTTTTGGTCAACATTACATATTATCTGCTAAACACCAATCCAAAAATCCAACTTGAAGCAGTAGATGACGTCAAGTCGTGTTTTCAAGTTGATCCAAAAAAGGAGGTACCAAAACTACTAGGAGTTGGTTACATCCAAGAAGTCCAATACTTGAGATTGGTTTCTATTGTGGTATGGTTCATAAGTCAAAACCATAAATGACGTGTGTCAATTTCAAAAACCTAAACATCGCCTGACTGAAAGGCAAATACCACTTGCCAAGGATCGATGCACTCATAAATGTGACAGTTAGCCATTTAGTGATGAGCTTCCTTGATGCCTTCTTTGGCCACCATCAAATAAAGATGTACCCGTCTGACACAGAGAATACAACAATCATCACCAATGATGGAGTTTATTGTTATAATATAATTCCATTCAGACTTAAAAATATTAGGGCGACATATAAACATCTAATGGAGGTAATATGTGAAAAATAAAAAAAAAATATTGAGGTGTATGTGGATGATGTGCTATTAAAATGTAGAACACCTGAGCAACACGTCGTGGACATAAAAAACCTTTCAAACATTAAAAAGATTAACATAAAGCTTAATCCACTAAAATATACATTCGACACAACAATAATGAAGTTGTTGAGTTATATTCTGACCTCCGAAGGAATTAACGCCAATCAAAAAAAAAATTAAGCGTTGATTAACATGTCATCCCTGTAGAACAATATGAAAGTCCAAAAAATGATCAAATGAATAACAGGGCTAAGTTGTTCATCTCAAAGTCGGATGACAAGTGTGTCGCTTTCTTCAAAATCTTTTGAAGATCAATGATCTTCAGTTGTTCAGATGAGTGCAAGCATGAATTTAATAAATTGAAGAACTCCCTAGCATCACCGTCACTCCTCTAAACCCCAAAGTTGAATGTTGAACTCTCTTTGTACTTGGGAGTCAATCTGAGACTATCAGCTCAATTTAGTGCAAGAAGAGTAAGGGAACCAGTTCCTAATCCACTATGTCGGTCAAGTCCTCTGGGGAGCCAAGCTTAGGTATCCAATTATGAAAAAAAATTAACTAAATCCTTTATTACTTTTGCTAGCAGGCACTGCCCATACTTCCAAATACATCCGAATATAATTATCACTCAACACCCGCTCAAGTTAGTCCTCACTAGATCGGAATGCTCTAATTAGATTCTTAAATGGTTAGTAGAACTCAACAACTTTAATCACTCCTACATACCCCAAATCTCCATCAAGGCTTAAGTTATGACCGACTTACTAACCAACTTCTTGAGTCGAGCGAGCTCGACAAAGAAACGGCGACCGACTACCATACTTGGGCCCTGCATATCTAAGGGACATCTGGTCACACCGTTGTAGGGCTCCATCTTGCTCTAACAAATCTGATCGAGGATCATTTCTACATCTTCATATCAATAAGATTCAAGGTCACTAAAAATCAAGTCGAGTACAAGGTCTTAATAGACATGCTACAGTTCGCTTACAAAATGGGTGTGTGGCTCCTTCTGGTGAAATCTTACTCACAATTAATGATCAATCAAGTAAACAGGCATTTTAAAGATGGAGATGAGATGATAGTTAACTAACTCAATAATGTTAATATAGAAGAGGAAAA